CAGGGTACCCAGTAAATATTTTGTCTCATATTTTCAGGCATCGAATCCAGGWCAGTTTGAAAATGACGTGGAAGTGTTGACTGCAGGTATTCAACACACTATGCGCATTCAGTTTGGTTCAACACTGTATCCACAAGGAGAAAATTTCAATTGATAACTGGAAATTACTTACCAACAACTGGAAGTCTTTTGTCCAAAATCCCAGGTTTATATAGAAAGTCGTACTCCTAAAAATGGAACGCAAAAAATATCAAGTGACGGGACTAATTTACTTCCGGTTTTTGACTTGCTTGTTTGTTTGTTGTTGCTCGCGCTGGTGCTCCATGTATTTGGCTCTTGGGAAGATAATGGGTGGGGAAGGGGGTGGGAAATAGGGAATAGGGATGAAGTAAGGATGACCTTTTCCATTTTATCCACCTTCGCTTGAGCAGATACGCAGTACAATAGTCCTCTTTATCTTGAGTGTAATGTTTGCCCATTACAGACCATGTGTCATTCCTTAGGCTTTAGTGCTACGTGCTAAATGCTCAGTCATTCGTGACAGGCGGTAAGAATWAATTKAATTTAGCACGTAGCCTAAACTGAAACCTTTGTGCGTGACAAGCGAAGCATATCTCGGAAGTGGACTATTTGATAGCCCCCGACATACCTTCCAAGGTCCTTCCAATGAGTTGCTTCCTTCAACAATCACTTCCGGTCTGCCACCAACACCAGTCATGCTGAGCAATGACATTAAAACCAGTTAGAAACCAGTAAAAATAAAAAATAAAAAACAATAAAAATACGGATAAGGAGGTCATGAGGGACATGCAAGGAAAGTTGAATTAAAAAAGTGCATTGGCCAAGTTTGGGACTAGGAAGTGATGTCCCATGCCCCTCTCTTTCTAAGAAGCCACAGGAACCCCATGTGAGGTTCCCATGTCTCCTCCCTCATACCTTCTAATCCAAGCCCCTCTCTTTCTAAGAAGCCACAGGAACCCCATACCTTCTAAACAGCCCATAAGCGTGCACTAGCTCCAGATAATCAGTCTTGTGCTTCAATCTTTTGATGACAGGCCAGACTTTTTGTTGCGTGGCGTAGTCAATATCCGTGTAGGGAACCTGTGGGGTGAGAAAGAGACAAACAGATCACCCAAGTTCCTTGAACATGCAAGGTATCATGGGATAGGATGGGTAGGGAAAAGATAGAAGGGAATTGGAGGTGGAAGAAAGAATGATCAGATGAGTTGGGAAGTGAAAAAAAGTGGGCAGTAAAGGTGAAAGAATTTCAAGACGTTTTTAGTCATTAAACAGATCAAATCTACCTCACATGTCTGTGAATCAAGGGTGGTGTAGCAGTAGTACACTCCCCTCTACCCTCTGGGGTCTCTGGTGTGATTCCTAATTACCGCTGTGTTTCTTGATTACAGACTCATTTACTCAGGGTTAGCCTCGTATCAGTGTCTAAATATTCACAAAAACCAACGGTAAAGTAAAGAATGCACAACTTCAACAGTACGAACACTTTGAAACTCGACGGACCTTGACTGGAACACGTGAATATTCTTCACAAAATCGAGGCTAAGCCTGAGTAAATGAGTCTGTAATCAAGAAACACAGCGGTAATTTGGAACTTGAAAATAGTCTATTGAAGTACATTTGCTCACTCACCAGACTGATAGCAAACATGCCAAGAGCAGCAAAGGAGAATACAAACCACAGTAGAATAGACCAGACCTTGGTTACAAGATCTCTTTCCATTATACAACTATGAAAGATAAGAATAATATGCAATAATTCTTATCTGTTTAGTGCCTTGAAACTCTTGAAGTTACTGTGCGGATACTCCAACCGGGACCACTTTGATAAACTAGTATCATTAACCAATCATATTATGACATTTAGTTCAATATATTTAACCAGCCAATCAGATAACGCATCGATGTAATAAGAGCGTGATAACGTGGTAATCTGATTGGCTAACACTGTTATCAGTTCAATCTCTGTCTAGTTTACCGTTATCTGATTGGTCAGTTATATTCAAGAGGTCCTGGTTCGTGTGTCCGCAAAGTAAATGATTTAATTAAATGATTCTTAAATCACTTAAATCATTGAGATGCATGGACGGGATGAATAGGATAGGTGGGATAGTTGATGGGATAGATAGATAAAAGGGATGGATGGATGAATAGGATGCATAGGATGAGTGGGATGGATGGATGGATGGATGGGTGGATGGGTGGATGGGTA